CTTAAAATGTGTATACATTTTTTTGGACAGTGTGTGTGTGTGTATGACTGTGTTAGTAATCACAGCTTCCCTTTAAAATATATACTTTTAGAAAATGTGATACTTTTGTATATGTCTTGTAATTTATTTTTTTCACTTAATGTATTAGGAACATTTTTCCATGGTGTTATTCTTTCATAGTTTTAGTGGCAGAGCCACAATTTATTTAAATAATCCCCCTTTGATGGACATTTTAATTTTTTCACCCTTATAAAAAGCTGTAATGCTGGCACTATAAAAAGCACTGATGGTTTCTGTATAAAGATGGCAGACTGAAAATGTGTACCCGATTTTCCTTTCCCTCTTTAGAAACCCCATGAAAAATACAGTTAAAGGGACTTTCTTCTTTTTTAAAAAAGACATCAAGCTAAAAGTTGAAGAGAACAGGATACGAGATGTTAGCAACAACATTTCAGAATCTGAAAGCAGATGGATAACAAGAAAATGACATAGCAGAGCCAAGAAAACAGAATCCTCAGTAGGCTCGGGGAATCTGAATCACCACCTATATACAGTCCTTGCAAAGTTTTGCAACTGGCAGTACCAAGTACCTTTGGCATTGGGAGTGGGGTTAGAGAAGCATGCTGGCCTCCTAGATTGCCTCCTAACTCTTCCCTAACTGCAGCATCTGGAGGTTTAATTCTCTGGAGAGGGTAAGACAGAAGTCTTTACTCTTGGAGATGTAGGTGTAGTTAAGGGCTTGGGTGCTGTACCAAAAGATACAGTCCAAGTGATATAGTGCTGAGTGCTGACATTTTCTAGCTCTTCCAGCCCTATCTGCTTATAGCCAGACCTCTCCCTCTAGGTAAATCTAAGGTCTTTTCTAGAAGAACCTGACTAGCCCAAGAGAAAGAATACACTGGGGGTTCCCAAAACTGTACATGTAAGCCACTCTACAGTGAAGCTCATACTCAACAAGCCCATTGCATGTGCTCAGAGCTCCCACTCTGAGCTTTTTCTAATCCTCATTTTGAAACATATGCAAACTCCCAAGGATTACCAGATATCTGAGGAAAGCCTCTAACCTGGAAATAGAGATCAAAATAAATTGAAAAACGAAAAACAAAAAACTTAAAGGAAACAAAGACCACATAGGTAGGGAGAAGAAATATTTTAAAATATCATTGTTTTCAAAAAAGAAAATAATTTATCTATGAATTAAACAAAAACAGAATGCTATTAAAAAAAGAAAACCACCAAAAACCATTCAGAGATCATCATCAGTGACAGCAAAAGGACCTTGAAGATTCAAAACATAGTGCAAAAATGAGGGGAAAAAAAAATCAATAGAAGGGATTACAGGGAGATGTGATCCTGGGCATTTCTGCCCTCAGGTCCATTCCTTGAGCTGACCACCACCACAGGCTGCATTTCCCAGCCTCCCACACTGGCCTGGGTCAGCCAATGGGAGACACTTATAGCACCTTCAGCACTGTTATCTCCTTCATGGCTACAGCTCTCAGTGATAGGCCCACTATGGTTCCAGTCTTTGTCAGATACTCTCAGTCCCTGGGGTCCAGTAACATCAACTCTTCCCTTTGTCCCTCCAGCCTAGGGGTGGTAATGACTTCCTGCTATTGATAATCTCTGGGTGGCCTCACTATCTCCTGTTTGGCTTTTCAACTCTCCTATCACTTGTATGAACAATTTCCTGCAATAAATTATTTCTGTTTTAAATACCAAAGTGG